TAAGATTTTGATGGTTCGGGGTAACCAACTTGTGGGGAAGACAAAATAATGGAAAAATATTTATCGTTAAACGATGCAAAGTAGATGCAAAAATTTGAATTTTTTTTTAAATCCGTTAAAAAATTTTAATTCCTTTTTAAAATTAAATTTGCCGTAATTTTAAACTTTCATTAATTTTTATTGTAAATCCTTAACATCAGCTTATTGTCAAATTCAAAACCATTCACCTTAAAAACTCCACAATGCATTAAAAATAAACTTTTTTGCTCCTCTGCACTCAATCTCTTAGGGGCTGTTCACTTATGACGTCGGATGGTCATTTTTCAAAAAAGAACAATGGAATTCCAAGAATTTCTATTGTTCTTTTCTTACTGACCCCCCCCCCCCCCCCTGGACGTCATAAGTGAACGGCCCCTTAAGTATTCATACAATAAAATACTTAAGGGAATAAAAATGAATATAACAATTATGAAATGGACAAAAAAATGGAAATAGACATTTGAGAATTTACAAAAAAAAAAATATAAAGTTCTCATTTTTAACGCAAATTATTCTACGGTTGTACACAGACAACAACGGACATCTGAAAAAATGTTTATTATGATTATTATGAATGTTTTGGGATAAAGAAGAAAAAAAACAGGATCTGCAGACAAAGGAATAAAAAATTCATCAAATGAGAATCTTACCGCATTGAGCTGTGCATAAACAAAAAACGGAAGGACTGATGGGGTCAGTGACTTATGACGTCTAGCAATTTAAGGGAGAGAAGTTCGGTACCTGACATTTTTTATAAATCACAATATCGAGGTAGTTCAAGAAATTCAAAATTTTGATAGACATCACTAATGCACAACCCCCTCCACAAAATTCCCAAAAGTAGCATGCAAGCAGACAGACATAATTGGAAGCTGTTTTATTTCATTCAACCTTTAAGTCAGGCAACAAAAAAAAATTATTTTCCATCCATTTCAGCTTTGGCGTTTCATTTAAAAAAGAATGAATGATTTTGAGACGTGATTTTTGCTCGCTAAGTGTCATTCCACTCGGCTAGTATTTCCAAAAAAATAAAGGCATAGGCAAGCGACATGAGATGCAAAAAAAAGGAATGTTTGTTTATCGCCTTTATCATGATCATATGAACGAACATCTTAATGGATAAAACGTGATGGAAATTTTTTTTCTATTCTCCTTTTTGCTCCTCACTGACTTCCTTTTATGTCGATTTTTTTATTGGCGCTGGTTTTTTTGGGCTAGTCTGGTGTGGTATTGAATTTTGTTGAGATAGCTGGCTGGCTGGATGATTTGAGGAACAACATAATGGGAAAAGTGTAGATGTTCAATTTCAAGGCATTCCCTTCAATATCTTATGGGGCTATCCAAAAATTACGTAACACTTTGAGGGGATCGAGATGTTGTGACAGTTTATCCAAGAGAGAGGTAAGTTATGTAATAAGTGAACAGACACTTGATATCTATTAAAATTTTCCCATTAAGTTGTTTCCCCCTTCGGCTTAGAATAAACCATTCTAAGACTGGTTTGGGGAGAGTTGGTGAGTTGATGAGTAGCATGCATGATTTAATGCCTTATCCAATGTTGATACAAAGTTGCTTTTGACCAAATTAGCCTACGCTTAAGTCCTCATTTTTAAAGTCAAGTGCTAGGTTTCAACACTGGTCTTATCACATGAACTGTGTACCAGGGGCGTAGCCAGAAAATTTTTAAGGGGGCCCATTTTCGAAAATTAAAAAACCGTTATTTTGTATCCTTAAATCTATATTCATTCTTCATAAGTTTAAATATTTTAGTTTAAATTTAAAATATATTTTTTACCGTTACTAGTTCAAATAATTTAAATCCGTTAAATAATCATCAAACTTCGTTGATTGATTTATCATCCAAAAATTTGTATTTATTAAATCGATTAAATTACACAAATTGAATCCAAAGATCAATTCATTACAACTGCAAATGCAGTGTCATCTTAAATTAAGATTTTTCTTTTAATGTTTAAATATTATATTTTATTATTGTTTACAAAGATGGCTAATAAACATACATACATACATACATTTAATTCATTATTCATACCAAGATATATAGATGAGCTCATACAGAGTATACTTGACCATACTCGACCATACTATTTTTTGTGTACTTATACAAACAAAAATTTTTAAAATTTTCTATTTTCAAGTTTTCATTTAAATATCGACAGATGCAACAACATTTGTCTTAAGTCAGTTTCTTTAAATTATAGCAAAGCATTTGCAATACTCCTGTATCAACAAAACTTAACAGAAAGTTGAAAATTTTGCAAAACAAAAATTGAAAATTTTCTTTTATAGTGTTAGTGTTTTTAGAAAATTCAAATTTTTGACGTTTAAAAACTGCGATATTTTTGTATGAGCACATCTATATATCTTGATTCATACATTAAATTTAATTTTTCGTGCTGATTTTGACATTTCTTTCATCATTTTCTCTACATTAACTGGTTCTTCTCAATAAATACTTAATAAAACAATTATCAGATTTTCGTAGGGGGGCCCGGGCCCCCTATGCCCCCCCTCCCCCCTGGCTACGCACCTGCTGTGTACTGTTCCCCCATTTAATATGTGTCCTTAGTATCACCAGCTACCAAAAAAAATTAAGAAGTTCAATTTCCTACAAAAAAATTCTAACCTATAAAAAAGTGCGTCTTATCCACCATAATCATAAATCTTACTTACTTCTAGTTTTCAAATTCTATGTTGAGCATCAGTTCTGTGAATTGATTTTATGGCAATGGCGAAGGCCAAATACATTTGAGTTTCTCATGCCTACGAGTGAACTTTCAACGAAAAGGAGAGAAAAAAAAGGCAAATTTATTGTCTGCCATTTCTGATATGGTTTGCGAAATGTGATTCTAGTTGTTTATATGGATAGCTTTACTGTATGTCTATGTGAACAGTTGCACATATGAATGATGTGAAGGAAGGAAGAGAAGGCACACAAAAATTTATTTTTAGACATAAAATTCATAAAGTAAATGGACATGTTGCAAATAACATTTATGAGGAATTTTCCTTCCTTTATTTGCTGTTCTTATCTTCTTCACTAGAAAGTTTCTACGATAAATAGTCTGATAAGTTTTTATGTGAGTAGGAAGTTCGAGTTGGAATGTAACCTATGGATGCTTGTCATAAATGTAATTTTAGATTGTTGAGGTGAAATCTGAGGAACTACAGGAATTTCAGGTACATTATAAATATCAATTTCAAACATTTTATGTAACGAATTTTTGAATTTCAAATTTTAACGCATTTTCAGAATTCAAAATTGTTATCACATAAAATTCAAATTATTAAAAACCGTTAAAAATGTTTACACCCTAAAAAGAAAGCAGTAACGAGACTTGCACAACAAACAAAAAAATGAAATATTTCCTCCACAAATAGAGCAACGAAAGCAGCAAGCAGCAGCTAAAATCGATTATTTTTCTTCCCTCTTCGTCTTAACTCGACCAACCCATTCAAATTGAAAACATCATCAGCATTCTTCGTTTTGCAAAAAATTATGCTTAAATAGATGAGAGAATGAGGAAAAATGTGTGGAATCATTTAGGCCGAAGTACGACGATGTCGATGATAATGATAATGATGACCGATCTTTTATCATTAAAGGAGAAAGATGAAAATGTGTAGATTGGGAAGAAAATGAAATCTCCATGTATAATGTGTATAACTAGATTAGTCTGGGACTCGTCATGGACATATAAGCTACAAAATTCTTCAAACTTCGAAATTAAAAAGTAAACGGTTAAAAAATATTTGAAAAAAAACTGTCAAATTGTTTCAAATTTTTTCAAAAATTAACGGTTAAAAAATAGTCACGCAGTCATTCAGGATTGTCCAGTATTATAATAAAGAACATGTAATGCTGCTTGTTCCGTTCTTTATGCTACAATGATTTTGTATACTATTTGATGAAAATTGGTAAGAGATTTTCCCCATAATGCTATAATGGACACATAGTCTATTATTAAAATTTCCTTACAGCACTTCATATCATGTCACTTGATTCTCATACTAGGAAGTCTTCTGGTGTAAGGAGTGCGAACTTTTCTCACATTTAGTGTCATAATAGAATTTATTAAATGCTTCAATGTGAATAAGGAACTGACAAATATTGTATGTGCATTAAAAGGGGGATTTCTCATCATTCAGACGTCAGATTTAGTATTCATTCATCTAAAATGCTCCATGTATGATATAATAATGTATTATTTGATTTATAATGTACGAGAAGCGTGAACAGTGGGAAATAAAAGTTCAGCACATTCTTATGGGTGGAAGAAAAGATATTCCCGTCGAGTTCTGATATTTTCATTACAATGAAACTTTTTCTTGCTTGGAAAATGCATTTTCCAGTTTGTATGTAGTGGAATTGATTTTTTGGAAGTTTCCTTTCGAGCTTCCAGCTAGCAATGACACAAAATATCCTCTTTTGTGGCAATAGACTTGAATTTTTTTAGAGCTATTGCCTTTAATTTTTCGAATTTACTTCGTGGTATCAATCTATGGCTCAAATTGTAGAGGATTTTCTTGATAGTAAATGTTTTGACAGTTGAAGTTCAAAATTTGAATAAGTGAACTTAATTTCAAATAATTTTCAATCGTTAATTTACAAATATTTTTTGACAGTTATATTTCAAATAATATTTTTACATTTTCAATCAAATGAATTAAAATTATCAGAGACTAGTGTCAAAAGTCATAGTGCCACAACAGTAGACCTGAAACTTGTTCCAACAGTGCCTCTTTATGGGATTTGAGAAATTTGATATCCTCGAATAAAAATCCATGCATAGATCATAAAATGGATTACGGAGGAAAATTGAAGAATTACTTTTCCTTCTTCGTCATTGCCTCTTTTTGCTCCTTCGCATTAAAAATCGCTTACAAATTTCCCATCAATTCAAAGATAAATAATAAAAAATGATGATCATAAAAAGCTTTATGTTTTATTGGCATAATACATCATTTTCTTCTTAATTCATCTTTAATTTTTTATTGAGTGCTGCTCGGCACTAAAATCTCACAAATTTAATATTTTATGTTCCACAGCATTTTTTTATTTTTTGTTTCCTTAGTCTTATTAGCTCAATGATTCTTATATTTACTTCTTTGATGGAGATTTCTTTTTATAAATGGCACCAGTATGTGGTCCGTATTTTGATATCGTCACAGATGTGCTGTAAATTGACAATAAATGAGTCAGTTTTTATTTACATCCAGTAAATTATTTCATACTCACTTTTCTGACTCTAAAATGACAACTGGTGCATCTAAATTCGGATGAATCTTTGCAGCTTGATGTGAAATTTCTGTTATCAGACCTGATGCTTGCGAATGTGCCATTCCTCTAGCTATTTTATGAATTAAATTGAATTTTAGACAAGCATTTTTATTATTATCTCAATAAACTCACTTCCACACGATAATCCTTGATTATCTGCAATTAGAACACCTGTTACTTGATCCCTTTGCATCATTGCATCTAAGATACTGTCCATTTTCGCCTCCATTATGCTTAATTAAAGTTTATGTTTCTTTGTTGGAATTTTTGATAAAATCTTGTCAATATTTACAAAAAGTCACACTCCCCTTTTGGAATTTGAATTGTTTTACAGTTATTTTTAAATCCTGTGGATTTATTTTGAATCACATTTAAATCTACCAGATTAATTTTAAAGCCTTTAAAACTCAAGGATTAAAGTTAAACTATGAAACAAATAATATCAATGCCTGAAAACTTTGCAATGCAATCAAAAAACATAATTTTAAGGAATTGAAGCTTTAATCCTTTATTTTAATCATTTTCGTATATTTCAGATGACAATAGACTACGAAAAATCCTTTTATTTAACATATTTTCAGTTTTCTGGTTCAGTTTACTTCTTTGCAGCATTTGCAGCAAGTGTGGCCTTTTCTTCACGAAGACGATCCTTCTTAAGAACACCCATGAATTGGGACTTGTCGGCAGATGTTTGGAAACGTCCATGACCCATTTTGGAGCTAGTATCGATGAACTTAAGATTGATAGATTCATTGGAAATACGAGATGTATGGACCAACAATGACTTTCTCAATGTAATGACGCGCTTCTTGGCACCGGCACAGCTTCCCTTAAGCATGACAAAGTCGTTTCTTACTTCACCATAGAATGGGAAACCACCAATTGGAGTGACTGACTTGTCAGTGACATCATATTCAGTTGCTGCGTTGTTCTTAACGACCTGTAAAGAAATTATGAATTAGATTTTTTGTTTTGGGAATTAAGGCATAATTATGATGTAAAGCTATTGTCAGTCCTATCATTTGGTAACCATGTTGGAATCTTAACATTAATGTTTATATTTTTCGGCTCATTAATAAGTTTAACATCATTTAAAATCCTCAAATTAATCTATAATTCAGTATAATACACACCTTTCCGTCCTTTGTATGGATTCCAGCACCAATACGGTAGATTTTCTTGTTGATTTCAGTACGATGATGATAACCTTTCTGACCAGCACGAGCTACAGTAAAGGCTACACGACTTGGATGCCAAGCTCCAATACAAGCAACCTTACGTAAACCTTTGTGCGTCTTACGAGGCAATTTCTTTGTGTGCCAACGGCTAGTGACACCCTTGAAACCTTTACCCTTTGTGACGGCAATGCAATCAATCATTTCGTCTTGTCCAAAGACATTTGAGACTGGAATTGTCTTTTCTAAATGTTCCTTGACCCAGTTGACTTTGTCTTCAATGGTTCCTCCATTCAATTGGATTTCCATGATGTGAGCCTTCTTTTGACCTTGCTTGATCAAACGGATCTGTGAATGACAGTAAATTTTATTAGCTAAAGTGGTTCGAATTAAGATAAAAACGGTGTATTAAGGAATACGTTGAGACTGTACTTGATATGGTCGCCTCATGTAATCATTGTTTCAGAGAAACTTTACAAGAGCGAAGGAATATATCATGTTTGGATCATTTGCATAATCGCATTTAATCTACGACATTGAGGAACGACCTATGAATTGAAAATCATCGCCAGCCCCCGGATTTCGACTCACAGCAGTCCAGTCAATCCCGAAAGATCAACTAGTCCACCGTAAGTCAGGTAATGTCGCATAAAAGTTATTTGTTTAAAGGATATTTTACTTACTTGAGAATGGACAATGACACGAACGAATTTGCAGTAACGAATCATTTTCTTGAAGTTATCTTCAATTGTCTTCTTGCCCAAATCGTCTGTCCATTTCTTGCTGGCCTTTGTGAAAGCCTTCTTTTTGCTTGAATACCTGTTTGAACGAGCGAATTGACAGCGTGTAAATACAGAGAATTAGGCAACAGATCTCATAAAGTCACGCTGCAGTGCTTTAGCGGAGATTACTGTTCCTTATCATGTTCACCATAACATCAATTGAAGTTGATGCGGCTTTCATGACTCATAGTATAGCTCTCATCCAATAAATTGGCTCGGGAAAGCTTTTATTAAGTATATTATTAATACTTGATACAATAAATCCGATCTACAGCTGAATTTTGGACAATACATATTATATCAGAAGGAAAGCAGCAGTGAAAAAGTTTCGACATGTTATTCTTTCCGAAACCACATTAATTCTAGGGATCATCACTCGTATTGTCCAAAATACTCAAATTAACGCGACTTTTAGTGCATTTTCCTGGAACCAATCATTTCAGATCAGTGTTGCATTCTGGCGATTTGTCTGGATCAGATAAGTTCTGACACAGATATTTCTTCATAAAGATCGATTCTATGTGAAGATAGAAAATCTAATCTACACAAAGATTATTTCTACATAAAGATTCGATGTAGATGTCTAGAATTCTACATTCTTCTCTGATGTAGACCTGGAAAAAATGTAGAATTGTAGACATCTACATAGAATCTTTATGTAGAAATAATCTTTGTGTAGATTAGATTTTCTATCTTCATATAGAATCGATCTTTATGAAGAAAGTTTCTTAGCTAGACAAAAACTATTGAAGAATCTACATTCTCCATCTAGTGTAGACATCTACATTTGCAACACTGTTTCAGATTTTAATTTTACAAAACAAATGACAGTTGAGGTTCAAAATTTGAATTTTTGAACCTTAGTTTAAATACTTTAAGGCAGTCAATTTTCAAATATTTATTTGCGGTTATTTCTAAACTTCTGTTCTCAAAAAATGCACTTAAATCGGTCTGAAAGACTTGAATCATAAAAGTTAAACTCACCAGTTCTTGTAGAAACGACGACGGCATTCTTCAGACAAATGCTGAGCCCAAACATTGCATAAAGCACGTGGACCATGGGGAGTTTCGATATAACCAACAGCTCCAACAACGACAATTGGTGGTGTTTCAAGGATTGTAACAGCTTCAACAACTTCCTTCTTGTTGATCTCTGTGAATATTAAGAGTTCATTAGTAATTTGGTCAATTAACAGCTTTATGATGAGCAAATTAATGGAATTAAATCAGTTCGCCCTAGTTCTTGCTGGTTTGTCTATCATAGATTTCAGTAAATACTGTAAACGTTTATAAATACTCATCATAGAAGGAAATGTCAGACCTGTGCCATTTCAATGTTCAAAATGAAATGTTGCAGGTCCAAAACTGCACTTAAAACTAGTAAACTTACTTGATCCAGGACGATCAGCTTCACGTACAACGTGTGTCATACCAGCTTTGTATGAAATAAAGCATGTTAAATGGACTGGCTTTGAAGCATCATCTTTTGGGAATGCCTTTACTTTACCACGATGGCGTTGAGCACGCTTTTTTGGGTAGAAAGCCATAGAACCATGACGAGGTGCAGAGAATTTACGATGAGACTAAAATTAAAGCATTATAAAAAATTTAACCTCATTATTATTTTATCTCTTATTTCTCGATAAATTCACTTAATTACTAGCTTAATTCACAATAATTGAGTTTATTGTAAGCTATAATAAGCTTTAGTAATAGTTTAACTTGGTTAAAATACTTTAAAAGTTGAAAAATTGCGGATATTTACCATTTTGACGTCTGCTTTCTTTGCAGGTTTATTGAAAAAGAACGAAAATCGTGCCTGAACGTGTGAAATCAACTTCGGGGTGTTTAGAAAAAAATTATTTCAAAATTTTTTCGTGCGTTATTTTTAAACTCATAATTTCTCTTTCCTGTGAGTATCTGATTTCGTGAAACCTTTTGTATTCTATTACTTGTGCATCTTATATTCATGGGAATTAATTTAATGTATCCAAATAGCTGTATAAAGCCAGATAAATTATGCTAGATGTTTCAATACCTTACAAATGTTGAAATTTATAAAAATTTGTATGGTTCTGAAATTCAAATTTGAAATAACAGTTGATGATTAAATCCTGAAAATACGTTTAAAAAAAAACTTAATTCATCGATGTTTCTTGATTTGCCTTGATTAAGGACTAAAAGAATTGATTTAGTACTTTAAAAAATAGTGAGAATTTTATTTCACTGCAAATGCACACGAATACAATATCAGGTAAGAAAAGCAAAAGATTAAAGCAAATTACAAATCAGTTTGTGGGCGCTTAGCGACCCAAGCTTTGATCCCTTCAAGAGCTAGAACTGTTTCCTTGACTTTGTTCAAGTTTGGATGATTTACAGTCAAATCTTTCTTTGCCATGTAGTTCAAATAGTCCAAGATTCCAACGAAATACAAATCAGCCCATGTTAATTTGCCTAAAGCAAAATGACCACCCTTAGCCAAAGCTTCCAATTTCTCCAAATAGAATGGGATGATCTCATTGTCTAATGTGGTACGCTTCTTTTTCTGTACTTCTTCGTCAGCCTCATATTGAACAGCACCGATTTCTGAGTGGATAGATAAACAACGCTTAAGTATCAAATTACACTTTACTCTGAATGAATAACTTACTGTTGCGGAAATCATTGATTGTATCGACAGCCATATCGATTTCTAAATCTTCCCAATCGTTAGATCCAACCAAACCAACTTGCTTAGCGAGATATCTAGCCATTGCAACTGATTGATGTGCTCTCTTTCCATCAATTTCGAGAATTGGCATCTGGCCCATTGGCATAGCTATTTATCAAGAAATAAACATAATATTAATCGACTTATCTAGCAACAATTTTGCAGTAATAAAGTTCTAGAAGATTCTTCCAAAAAATTGGAAGTCTTGTATCTTTAAATAATCGATTTAAAGCTTCTTGTGCCCCACACAAGCATTCTTATCTGATACAAATTCAGATATGCTTCTTGACACTTGTGAAATCCTTATCTCAATAAGAATATTGCGTAAATCCAAAAAGTTTTTAAAAATCATCATGAAATATTAATTAAAGCTTAATCCACTCACTGTCTTTGATTGCTGGCCAGTCTTCCTTTTGGATTCTCACATCGTCAAATGGAATATTCTTGTACGAAAGAAGAAAACGTAAAGGTTCGGCTAAGGCCTTGACATTGAAATATTGGATCTTGTATTCAGGCATGTTTATAAGGTATCCTGTGTAATTTAATGCTAATTAATAATCTTTAATTAAATTAATCAATTAAGAATGTACTTACGATAGGTTCTTTACGTCTAAACAGTTCGAAAGGCAGGAGACAAATGAGATACAAATGAAAAATGGCTTGCTATTTTTTCTCAGTGAACAATAAGAAGAAACGTGTATAGTGCCGGCAAAACAAAAGATAAAATGCCATTCAGCTTTTCAATGTCTGATAATTTTTTTGAAATTTCAACACGTGCGCGTTTAGGTAATTTTTTGAATTTTAACGGTTTTTTGATTAAAATCGTGAAAATTTAGCTCTGGGAGGCTTTAAATACTTTATGGACATTAAATGCTTTAAGATTTTACTTTTATTTCAACATACACTGTGATTTAGGTCTCTTTCTGCTATAGTTTCGGTTAAAACTGCAATTCACAATCATAACGTTTCTTCAAAATTTGAATTTTATAACGTTTTAAATCAATTTTGTCTGATCATCAAAGCAGTTCCAATAAAGCTTCAAAAGTGATTTTTAAGAAATGATAAATTTTCTGTACAACATCCCGTTTTTGGTTCTTGAACCACCGAATTTAAAACTCAGAAGATTGTCATTTTCATTTCCGTCCACAAGAACTCTGTTTTTCATCATTTTAATCTCCTATTTCTTAGTTTGTGCAGGTTTGTAGCTTAATCTACTATTTTAACATAAACATCCAGTACATAAGATGTCTACTTTTAAGGAATAATTTACGATATAATCATTGAACCGCCATCAATTGGAAGTACTGTCGAAAATGGATATTCCAAACCAGTTGCGTTCCTGCCAAACAGAATAAATGGACAGTACATTTTAGAAGGTCTAGCTGCTTCATTCTTATTCACTGCTGGAAGTAATAAAAAATTTCAATTTCTACTATAATCAAGGATTAATGAACATGATTTTTTCAGGTCTTGGCTTCATAATTCTGGATCTTGCAAGTGAAGGAACTCCAAAAATCAGCAAGCTGCTTCTCACATTCTTAGGATTCACATCAATTCTCGTATCATTTGCCTTATCTACATTGTTCATGAAAATGAAGTTGCCACATTATTTGCGTACTTTTTAGGTCTCATTCATTTGTGTGTCTTATTCCAAAATTAACAGTTCAAATAAAGAATTCTTAATGTCAATATGACTTCTAATTTTAAAAGTATTGTTTTAAAAGTGTTTAAATTAGCTATAATTTGTTGTGTGTCTTTTGTGTACGTAATATTTATTCTATGGCTGCTTCTTCATCCAATTTTACCGTATATCCTGAAAATTGTTCTTTTAATGGTTACCACTTTGATTTCTGGTGAGTTAATTGATCATTTGATGCTTAGGCTGGGATATAAAAATTAAAGAGTTCAAGCTGTTGATCTATGCCTTAATGCTTAAATTTTCAAGCTTCTGTTTTATTTTACAGGATTAATTGTCATAAGGTTTGATGGAACTTACAACAAAGCCTGTTTCTTTAGATGCAATGAATTTAGACCAGAAACAATGCCGTTGCTGATTAGAATGAAGTCACTTGATGATGTTCTGATCGAATAGTTCAGTTTTAGTCTATACACAATAATTTTATTATTTTTAATATATTTTTTTTACCTCAATAAAATAACAAAGTTTAAACAATCAATAATTGGTTATTATAAATGGACACTCCAGTGAGTTACAGTACATTCCATAAATTTGATATATATTTTTATACAGTTTCAATCATTCCTTTTCTCCTTTTCTCTTTATCTTCATTGATTCCGCTCATAAATGATGTTTCCTCGGATCTTTGCCTTAAAACAACATCTCCATTGGATGTTGTTGGAACTGCCTCTTTAGCAATTGACAGGCCATTTGTGGAATCAGTTGTTAAACGAGACGGTGTATGCGAACGAGATGGAGCATTTGATGAACAACGTGATGATGGACTGGATGAATTCAAGTTTTCTAAAGGAATTTCTTCAGACGCTGGTCGTAAAACGCGCGGACTTGAATCTCTTGATTTTGGCGTGCCTGAATGTGATCGATTTTTACTTCCATCTCTTTTTGGGGTGCTGATTGGAGTACTTGACTTTGTAGAGGAACTGCGATGTCGAGATGATTCTCTATAAGCAAATAACGGATATTTTTAATTTAAATACCTTTTGAGTGTTTCAAAACCACACAATTCCTAAATTAATTTTAACGTACGTAAATCTAAACCATTCAAATTCCGACTTAATATTACGTAAGTAAATAAGAACCATTCCAAATAAAATTGAGTAAATGAATGCTCACCCTTCAACAGATGATCGATTGACGATTTGACATCGACTGACACTTCCTGAGGGCATACTTTCACGCCTTAATGCTGATGCAACACCTGGAATGCGATTTGAAGTGCTAAATAAAGGTCTGTGCTCTCGTGGTGTCCTTGCTGTTCTCGATTCTCTCAACATTGATGAATAAATTGGAGTTGGGGATTCATTTAATTGTGGTATCTCCAACAATTGTGCTATTTGATACATTTTCTTTTGTCTTGCTTTCGATCGTCCTTTTGTTAATCGCTGCTTAGCTGCCATGCATCGGATATGATCGTCAAAAATAAATTTTGCTGATAAAATTGGCATACGATTTGTTGTTGGTCTACCTCTATGAATTGTTAAATGTAAGCATCTTGAATCATCTTTATCGCCAATCACTTCAACATCCTGCAAGAATCCTACAAGTTTGGCTATTCCCCAACCCAATTTCCTAGGATCTGGTTCAACTAGGATTAATTGTAGTACATCAATAACTAAAAATCGACGGTATTTCGTTCCATCTTTCATGATGACTGTACATGCTATAAGATCACTATTATCTGTAAAAAAATGTGCGAGTAAGTATTTAGTAAATTATGCCAAGAACAAAGGAACTCACTTAAATCAAGAGCATTATCGATTTGAACGCATTGTAAAGGATTTGTGAGCGGAAGTAACTGTTCTACCTCATTATTAATGCTTTGGCACATTTTGCGGATTAAAAAGAAGAATCTTATTGCACGTCGAGCCTTTTCTACTTCACCGCAAGGAAGTCTTCGACTAAATTCAATTCCAGTTAACGGAGTTCCAGTTGGTGGCAATAATATTGCAGAATCCATGCACAGAAACTCAACATTAAGATTTGATTTAGTCATTTCATTGTACTCATCTTCAAACAAGTCAAGAAATATATCTTCGGACTTGTAAAAGTTTTTGAGCACTGTCATCGACTGTGTACGTGCTTGCAATAATGATGCTCGATGATTTTCTGGAATTATCAATGGATTTGTTCCCAGTAATTGAGTTAATAATTTTAATGTTAATTCTATTGTCACAAGTCGTATTCGGCATGCTGAAAGAAGAGAACATTACGTTAAAATCAGTTTTTATGACAATAATAAATAAGCAATAAATCATATGTTTGAAAGGATGAGTTTTAAATATAAGGATTAATTTTTTAAGTCCATCATTTAATCTTTGGCTTAATTTTAAATCTTAAGAATTAAATTTTGACAATTATTTTCAAAACTTTTCGACGGTTATTTTTCAATTTTCAATTTTCGATCGTTATTTTTCATTCTTGATTCCATTTGAATAAAAGCTTGTATCAAAGCATAAAACTGAATATACTCACATGGCTGACTTGAATTATGAATAATATTGAGAAGTTTCTCTATCAAAATGCCATTATATTTCGATGCCACAGTTGACGATGATTTATTGAGCACTAAATCAAGCCAATCTTGATTAACGCCTATAGAAATAATTAAAATAAAGTCATTAGACACTGTACTGTGAATAAAATTAATTAACATTTCGTTACCATCTAAAATTTCCCACAAATTGAGAGCATTTTAAGTAGTTAAACAAAGGAAGTGAAAAAATTAAACCAAATCAAGTAAATTGATGCTCACCTTTGTTATTAGCCAATGCATACAAAAGACACAAAGCCAATAAAGCAATATAATCGTTTTCACTGCAATCTAATGAATGCAAAACCATATCTAAGAATGGTCTACTGCTTTTTTGCATATTCAATGATGATTCCAAAATTTGCTCTTTTTCCTCGTCCGTAATATTTACTTTCTCCATTTCGTCACTAAGACTTGCTTCTGCAGACACAGAAACAGTTGATTCGCTATTTGGATGAGTTCTTGGTGACGAGGAACTGCTTGCTTTTTCAGATGATACTGGAGATAAATTAATTGACGATGATGAGTCTAAAGCCTCTTCGAGACTTTCACGTGGCTGTCCAAATCCCAAAGTAACAGCTTCACGTCTTTCAATATAATTATTAAGAACTTCAGCAGCGCCTTCTTTGAAGACACTGTGATCACCATTGAGTATAACCCATGCTAGAGCATGAACTAAAGGGCTATGCGTTATCACAAGAAACACTAAAGACAGTAAGAATAAAGCCACAATGCTTGAAACTCTCGGATTATCACAAGTATCCTGTACGTCATCAATATCAACAATTTTATTAAGAACAGCAGCAAGATTTCTGGTAACGACTGCTAAATCTGGAGTCTGTGGTGTTAATGAATAGATGTAAAGTGGAACAAAGAGTTTGTGAAGTAAGTGTTCAGTTAGAACAGCATTAAGTCCCTCAATTTTCAACAAAAGAATATCATTTAAATAATGTAAACTATCTAAATGTTCAGCAACAAGATTTGACAATCTATGATGTGATTGATGATCCGTATCATTACGGACACAATAATCCAATTCCAAAATATGCTTTCCAATAAACCAAACTAAGTTAGAGAAGTAAGGTGCAGCTGTTCTGTCTCGTATGAACTGCTGCATCGATTCATTTTCAACTTTGTATACATTTAGTGATATAGTTCGCACAGCGATCCTCACCATTGATTCCGGATGATTAAAAAACTTGATAGCTTCAGTATAAAGTGGAAAATCTTTTGTCGTTTCATTATAAAAGAAGTGAATTGTATGAGAATTAAGTTTCAAACTTAAAGTTTTCAGGAACAGAATGTAATAGCCCATAACATCTTCATCGGAAAAATCAAATTTGTGAACGATGATTGAGTTGACGTGATTATTGCTCAACAAGTAATCTAAAAATAGAAAATAAATTATTGAGTCAAAGGCTTACTGGATCTTTATATTCTATGACACTTACAAAGCGATGTCTCATTTCTGATATTTTCAAAGAGAATGTTTAGGGTTTGTAGTAATTGAACACATACAAAGCTAGATCCACCACTTTTTTGTCGCATGATGTGTAGGAAATAGCTGAGCATATTTTTTTCAAGAAAGAAACTAAGGAACAAAAAAGAACAATTTTTTTCAAGGTCGCAAAAGTTAAAATTTAATTATACTCACTCGAATACACTCCCATCGTTCTGATCACCCCAAATCAAGATCTCTGCTATACATCGCAATGACTCAACAAGCAAGCCTCGATTATTTTCAGATACAGTTTGATTTTTTTCGAGAACTGATAATAAATTCTTTAAATTGTCTAGAGATAAGCGATTTTTTGGACTTCTTGAGGTCAATCCAAACCAACTTCTTGACTTAAACATTTTATGCTGCTCATAATCAATTTGTGAAAGCACTAAATGGAACTTTTGTGAATTTTCTTAATTTTTTTCGACTTTGTTTTGAAATATTTTCTTTTTTTGTTGGTGAATTCATGCAAAATTTCACGATTCTTCTATTTACTCCATATTATTTGTGCTAATTTCTTGTTGACAAACTGTATTTGATGTCTGGATCCTGCTTTTTAACTGGTAATTTAATTAAATTCCTTAAAATTGACGAATTTTGATAAAAACGTAAATAAACAATTCAAATATTTCTCAACCGTTATTTTATCGCGCACATTCTCAAATTTGTTTTAAATAATTGTGTACAGTTTTCTTTTCAAATTATTTTCGACCGTTTATTTTCTACTTTTAAATACAAATATTTTATGCAAAACTTTTTCTATCGTGTAATACATTTGTAGCTAGATCATAAAATCCAAAGAAAACGGCACCTCCTAATGTAATCCACATAACTCGAGGTACAAATCCAGCAAATAAACCTCGAATTCCGTTGTCTCGATAAATATTTTTCAATATCCTATAAATAGATACTTTCTGAGCAGTTTCAGCTAACATTATTCTAGTTTTAAGGACATCAAGTGGAGTTGTCAGGCCAGCTGCAATTCCTCCAGAAATAGCACCACAAAGTGCTACAAATGCTGGATTCAATGACAAGCCAGTTGTTGGTTCCCATTGAGTTTTGAGATATTCCCACAACGGAAACTGGATAAAGCTAAATGGAACTTCTCTAATTATCGTTATGCCAAATCCTCGATAAATTCCCTTCCTTAGTCCTTCTGCCTTAAATGCCTGATATAGTATTTGAAATGACGTTGTTCCTTGTTTAACTAGCATTGCTTGTTTCCTTTGCTTTGCTATTTCCACTGGAACTCTTACTAGACATGCTATAATCTCGCCACAAGATGCTGCAAACATATGTACGAAAGGACTTTGGTTTGACTTTGAAGTGCTAAGGAACGACTTGATTGATTCATAAGTAACGAAAAATAGAGCTGCTGACGGCATGGATCCTAAAATATATGAAGAATAAAGCTAATTGAGTTTATTGGAACCGATCAGTGTCTATTTTACCAGTTGCTGCAGTTCCTAAGCCTTTATAAATGCCTCTAAATCCACCACTTCTCCAAAAGCCTCTTTCACTCTGTAATCGAGTCTTTACTGTATCTATTGGAAATAATGCAACATCTACGACTAATCCAGCGACTCCACCAGCCTTTAAAGTGAATTAAAGTGAGTTAAATAATTGAAAATTAAAGAATAACAAATTTACAGCTTACAATTAACGAAGTCCAGTACAAATTTGGTTTGTGAAAAGTCGGTACGCTTGCATCCACAGAATCAGTCATTATGAATTAAATCAATGAGAATCTTAGTCTAAAATCATAATAAATTAAATTGTTGTGAAATGTAAACAAAACTTTTTGAGGCAACAGAGGCACATCAAGAAATTATCCCCAGAAATAATTCCACTTTTGTAGTCAGCTATTGGATCTTCTGTGAATTATATCAATTATAACTGACTGTCAACTATATCCCTTACATTATCTGGAAATTTGACAACAAACAATTAGAGCACTTAAAGGAACTGGGTGTTTCAGTCATTCTTAATTTAACGGTCATTATTTTGAATGTCGAGTTTATGCACTAGCACTTTTGTAGACGGCTCTGCTTGATATCGACACATTTGTAGACAGCTTTGACTCAACACGAGGTTTATTTTCAAAAATTCAGTGAAAGACAGACATAAAAATGGATGCTTCAATAATTAACGCTTTTATATACGAATATCTATCAACAAAAGATAAAATATTGGCAGAAACGGTCAAGACAAAGCTGAAAGCTGTAAGTATCATTGAATTAATCGCTAGAAATCCTTAAAATATTTTCACGTTTTGACCACATTTTTAGCGCATTTTTGAAACTTGTTTCAAAAAGGTAGCTTAATAACGCACTTTGGTCGGCTGGTCGGCTGGTCGGCTGGCTGGTCGGCCGCTAAGAAAAACTTTTAATCTAGACATCGTAGAGAGTTCTAGTTTTTTGCATTAGTTCCGTTATATCGAGTTATTGGCCCGCCGGACATTTAAAAATCTTAAAACAGTGTATTTATGCTATAATTAATGAATTTTTGTTTTGTTTTCAGTGTAACCTGCTCAAATTTTATTTTACCTCTATAATTTCAATATTACCTCTATAATTTCAAAAAATTTCTAGCCGTTGTAAAATTTGAATTTCAAAAAACCGTTAAATGATAAACTTTTTTTGTATGGAAATTCATTGGAACAAATTATTTAATTATACTATAATTAATTTTTTCGTAGTGCAACTTATAGCGGGAAAATTTCAAACTATTTATTGACCGTTAGAAAATTTGAATTACAAAAAAATGTTAAATGATAAACCCTTTCTGTATGAAAATTCATTGCAACAAATTATTTAATTATACTATAATTAATTTTTTCGTAGTGCAACTTATAGCGGGAAAATTTCAAATTATTATTATATTGACCGTTAGAAAATTTGAATTACAAGAAACCGTTAAATGATAAACTCTTTCTGTATGGAAATTCATTGCAACAAATTGTTTAATTATACTATAATTAATTTTTTCGTAGTGCAACTTTTAACGGCAAAATTTCAAATTATTTACTGACCGTTAGAAAATTTGAATTACAAAAAATCGTTAAATGATAAATCCTTTCTGTATGGAAATTCATTGCAACAAATTATTTAATTATACTATAATTAATTTTTTCGTAGTGCAACTTATAGCGGGAAAATTTCAAATTATTATTATATTGACCGTTAGAAAATTTGAATTACAAAAAACCGTTAAATGATAAACCCTTTCTGTATGGAAATTCATTGCAACAAATTGTTTAATTATACTATAATTAATTTTTTCGTAGTGCAACTTTTAACGGCAAAATTTCAAATTATTTACTGACCGTTAGAAAATTTGAATTACAAAAAATCGTTAAATGATAAATCCTTTCTGTATGGAAATTCATTGCAACAAATTATTTAATTATACTATAATTAATTTTTTCGTAGTGCAACTTATAGCGGGAAAATTTCAAATTATTTACTGACCGTTAGAAAATTTGAATTACAAAAAATCGTTAAATGATAAATCCTTTCTGTATGGAAATTCATTGCAACAAATTATTTAATTATACTATAATTAATTTTTTCGTAGTGCAACTTATAGCGGGAAAATTTCAAATTATTTACTGACCGTTAGAAAATTTGAATTAAAAAAAACCGTTAAATGATAAATCCTTTCTGTATGGAAATTCATTGCAACAAATTATTTAATTATACTATAATTAATTTTTTCGTAGTGCAACTTATAGCGGGAAAATTTCAAATTATTTATTGACCTTTAGAAAATTTGAATTACAAAAAAACCGTTAAATGATAAACCCTTTCTGTATGGAAATTTATTGCAACAAATTGTTTAATTATACTATAATTAATATTTTCGTAGTGCAACTTTTAACGGCAAAATTTCAAATTATTTATTGACCGTTAAATAATAATCCTTTCTATATAAGCATTCATTGTAACTTTTTGTTAATTACACTAAAATTAATGATCTTCTAATCTTCTCATGATCTGTAAATGAACGCAAAATAATTACATAATCAAATACTGATCGCTAACACAAAAATGCGCTTAAGTCCCTCGATCAATAACACGAGGACTTCTGTAATTTTTTTTTTCAAAACGCATTTTTGTTAATTCGCTTAAAACATAATTTTTACTTTAAAACAAGCATCAAGCTATACTTAATACTATTTATTAATTACTTTTAAACTTATTAGGGCAAATTACCAACTGGAACTCCAAAATTACAAGATGTAATTCAATTTTATCAGAAAACAGCACCAAAAAAGCTTCCTACAAAAATTACAGCTAATGAATCAAGTTCTGAAGAAGATTCAGAGGAAGAGACTCCAGCAAAGAAAGCACCAGCAGCAAATGGCAAAGCTGCTGCAAATGGAAATGGCAAGAAAAAGGAATCATCCAGTGAAGAAAGTTCTAGCGACGAAGAAACACCTGCAAAACCAGTAGTTAAGGCACAACCAGTAAAAGCAGTTCCAGCAAAGAAAGCAGAATCAAGTGACGATGACTCAAGCGAAGAGGAAACTCCACCAGCAAAAAAACCAGCAGTAGCAGCTAAAAAGCCAGTTGTAGTTGCAAAGAAAGCAGAAACAAGTTCAGATGATTCTAGTGAAGAAGAAGAAAAGCCTAAAGCAGCTGTTGTAGCCAAAAAACCAGTAGTAGCAGCAAAAAAGGCAGAATCAAGCGATGATGATGATTCTAGTGAAGAAGAAACAAAGCCAGCAGTTAAACCTGTTGTTCAGAAACAAGCAGCACCTGCTAAAAAGGCCGAATCAAGCTCTGAAGAAGATTCTAGTGAGGAAGAAGTAGCAAAGCCAGCACCAAAAGTTGCTGCAAAGGCAGTTCCAGCAAAGCAAGTCGCTAAGAAACAAGAATCTAGTTCAGAAGAAGAAGATAGTGACGAGGAAATGCCACCAGCTAAAAAACCAGTTGTTGCTGCTGCTAAAAAGGCAGTAGTAGCTGCAAAGAAAAAGGAATCAAGCTCCGAAGAAGAAAGTGACGAGAGTGAGGAAGAAACTAAGCCAGCACCAAAAGGAAAGGCTGTAACACCAGCAAAGCCTGCTAAAAAGGAATCAAGCGACGATGAAGAAGATAGTGACGAAGAAGAAAAGCCAGCACTTGTAAAAACACCAAAACAAAATAATAAACGCAAGGCTGAAGTTGTTGAAAACGAGGAAGAAGAAGAAGAACCAATTGTCAAAAAGGCAGCATACAGTAATTTTGTAAAGACAGGCGAAGGCAAAGTGAGTAAAAAGTTCCATTAAAATTTTTCGATATCTATATTTTTTGGTCCCATAAAAAATACTTCTTTAGTTCTGCGAAACGTGTAGAACAAAATATTTACAAAATGGAATCTATGGTGCTGGTTTTTGTATGATTTAGTCTCTTTGACTGAATATTGGTTTTCAACGACTATTTTATTTTTGAATTTATGGTGAAAGTTCAAAAAATTAAGGATTTTCAAAATTTAAGTTCAATTTATTCAAATTTTCAGAATGCGTTAAATTTTGAATTTTTATAACCGTTAAAATTTGAATTCCGAGAATCCGGTAAACCTTTTTCTTAATTCAAGGAATTTGAGTCAATCAACTAATTCCTCAACACATTTTTCGCACACCACATTCCTCCTTGTATTTCAAAGCAGGTAGAATTTAACCTCAACAATTTTACTATTTATCTTTTTCCCTCTAAACATGCTTCGCACGTGTTTTGCGAGACATATGAACGTGTAGGTAGTAAAAATTCATTTGATTCTCTTTTCGACAGCATGAATCGTCAACACCGATTTCAAAGCAAATAAAAAATGATAGTTTTTCAAATTTCAATAACTCAATTACTCCAATTAACAACAAAAATAAGAATAATAATAATAAGAAATCATTAAATTCGGATGAAAGACGTGGTGTTGAGAGATTCCGTCGTGTTAAAGACGAAACTATAGAAGTCGACGAAAGATTACAAGATAATTCATTCGATGCAAAGGTTAGTGTCCTTTTTTACAAGCTACAAAAATATTAAGAAAGCGAAAAAAGAGAAGAAAAAAAATTGTAGGAATTAGCTTAAGGACATTCTCTTTGCTTCCTTTTCAATATCTCGTCAATGTATAAATCGGACACTAAACTTAGCGTGTATAATTTTTAAGGGAAATCAATTAAATAGCTCTATTCTGAGATGTCCACAACAATTAAGCTAATTAACATTTTTTATTTTTCTTCTCTTTTCATGCAAAAATCCTTAAAAAAATATCCTTGATGCACAAATGTCTAGTTTGATAATGATAAGAGTGGATTTGGTGGTAAACCAAAATTCGAACGTAATGAACGTGGTGGACGTGGAGCAGGTAGAGGTGCTCGTGGAAATGATAGACAATCATTTGGTGGAGAAAGACAAGCACGAGATGGTGATTGGGACTGTCCAAAATGTAAAATGAATAACTTTGCATTCAGAACTGAATGTAAGAGATGCAGTACAACAAAAGATGGACAAGAAGGAACTGGAAATGCAGGAACACCAAAGCAAGGAAATGCATTTGGAAATAAGCCAGGCGATTGGATCTGTTCACAATGTAGTAACGATAATTTTGCATTCAGGACTGAATGTAAACGTTGTAATGCAGCTAAAGGAGATTCAGAAGTTGTAGGAGGTGGACAAAATGGAAGTAGCGGTGGTCGTGGTGGATTTAGAGGGGGTCGTGGGGGAAATCGAGGTGGTAATAGTCGTGGTGGAAGTGGAGGTCGAGGTGCACGTGGTGGATTTAACAAGTCATTTGGAGGATTTGATAATAAATCAGCACCACCAGCAAACAAGAAGATCACTTTTGATTAAATTTAAAACAGTTTTTTGACAAAGTTTCGTGAATTATAGTTTTTTTTTTTATATATATTTGCAAGAGTTGGTCATTTTGTGATGTCAAGTTTTGATATTTTTAAGGGCCCAACTTTTGTCTCAGCATCTTTTCATTGAATTAAGTGTCTAGACCTGCATCAATAATAATTTTTTAAGGATATAAAAGTGTACATTTTATATTAAATGTTAATACTGATTATAAATTCTATATTCTCTTTTTTTTTTGAAAAAAAAAATTCAAATCAAAATTAAACAAATAAAGAAAAATGCTCGTGGATCGTGGGGTGAGAAGGCAAATGATATATTGAAGCATACGCGTGGCAAGTCTTTCCGTCATGAAAAGACCAAAAAGAAGAGAGGAAATTATAGTGGGGGAGCTATCGATTTTGGTGTTAATTCTATTAAATTTACTGATTAAGAATTTAGTATAAAGGAAACTACTATTTAATTATGGATGCGACGCAAAAGCTGATAAGTGACAGTCAACAAATAACCATAATCGAATGGTTCATGATTATCTTTATTAGAACCTTTTTTTTTGTGGCGCAAAAACATTTTAATTTCGTTCTTCACAATTTTTATTTTAACTTCAAATAACAGAAAATATTCAAGAAAAGCATTTCATTTTTAACTTTAATACAGAATAATAAAATTACAAAAAAGTGTAAGTCTCGTAATCATAGAAAAATTTATTATAAGTAAGCAGTGAATTTTTCAATATTAACACTACATTATATTGCATTATACGATTAAGGAACATATAATAACTATAATAAATAACGGAAAATTTTGAAAATCAAAAATTGCTTTTTATTTTTTAACTGTTTTTTCAGATTTGAATTTTCATACTTTCAGGCCCTTTGATAATTTTCAAATTTCTCTAATCCGTTAAAGATTGAATATAAATTTTGAAACCTTTTGTGTTTTAATAAAGTCACTAATCCCGAACATACAAAAAGCATGCTCAGAAAAAAAGCACATTAGTGAGCCCACTCAAAAATTATACTCATACAAGCTTATTCAACTGAGCATGCTCAGGAGTTCATTACGAATGTGCTCACTTTATTTTTTTACAAAAACTTTGTAAGCTCACGTGAGTGCATTCAATAAGTATACTCTTGAAAATATTAAGAACATACTCATGTGAATTCACTCATATGAGTTCACTTACTGAATATACTCATGAGCATAACATAAGAAAACTCACTTCTGTGTCACACAATTTTTTTTATATTCTCAAATGAGTGCACTTACTGAATATACTCATGAGCATTTAATGAGAAAACTTACTTCTGAGTCACATTTTTTAAAAATGTCAGCTAAAACGAAAACGTTAAAATAATGATTTTTTAAGAAAGGGGCCGTTCACTTATTACGTTACGCATAAAAACGACTTTTTTCACCCCCTCCCCCCCTTGTTACAATATGTTACATAATCATGTTTTGATTGATACTATTAGTATTCTCATGAATTATTGGATTGAGATATAAAGCAAAAATTTGTTTTTTTTTTTAAGAAAATTCAAAAATATTATGCCCGATCGAATTTTGGAAAATTCAATCAACTTTGAATGTAAATATCACAATGATGGGATCATATTAATCATCATATGAATGACAGATTTAGAGAGATTTATTTTTAAACTTATGATTGATTTAATTTTGAAAATTTCCACAAATTATGATTGTATTTTAAAGTCTTGTAAACCAGTTTTCTATTGATTTGTTATAAAAACTATGTATTGCTTAGCTATCAAAAGAGATCTGGACATTTGTAAATCATTAAAAAGGTGAAAAATTTAAAAAAATGTTTTTGGTGTGAATTTGTAAACAAATATTTTTCGTGAACTTTTTTTTAAATGACATACGACAGTTAGAACGTTACATACTTCTTGACACTTCCCATCCCCCTATGTTACATTTTGTTACAATTTTTCAACCCCCCCCCCTCCCCCCAAAAATGCGAACGTAATAAGGGTTCGTTCACTTATTACCTAACGCACTAGGGGGGGAGGGGGGGTCTAAGATCTTGTTACGCTTTGTTACAGGGGGGGGGGGGAGGGGGGTCTAAAAACTCGTTTTTTTGCGTTACGTAATAAGTGAACGAGCCCAAAGTGAACGGCCCCAAAGCTGAATGTAAAGCATGCTCAAACAGGTACCGTAAGCGCATCACTGAAACGTGTGAAAATGAGCACATTCTCACAAAAGCTATCAAGCTCACAAATAATGTGCTCTGAGTATGCTCTTTGTATGTTCATTAATTTTTGTACAAGACAAGCTTATTTTATTATTTGAGGTGTTTTTCAACAATTTCATTTAATACCCAATAAATTGTAGCTTCAACAGCTTTGACACAACAATATTAACTTACTTTCATCCCACACAGGTTCTTCATCTTCGAACGATGCATGTAAATTATTAGTCAATTGAAAGATTTACGTGCGAGAGATTTCATCAAATCTGTCATAGATTTACATTCATGGCTTCTTCATCTATCATGCTGTATGGCAATGATTAATTTCCGAAATACATTTTATTAATTCCAGATCATTAACTTTAATTTTATAAAATAAATTTGGACCTTTTGCCAGCTGCGATGGAAGTTGATGTAGATTTTCATGTTTTATGTACATCTTAATTTGCAATTGATGTTATATTTCGGTGTTGATTTGGAGGATTGTGATGCATTTTTTTATTAGTCTTAAATTAAAATGAAGCTTTTGAAAACATTTGTATGGTTCTACAAGATTTTAGCTATAAATTGTATGGTTCAATTGTTCGAGTAAGGAATTGTATGGTTTTAAAGATTTCAAAACTGTTGAATTTCGTCAAGGGGCCGTTCACTTATTACGTTCTTATTATTTCAGGGGGGGGGGGGGTAAAAAGTTGTAACAAAATGTAACATAGGGGGGGGGGAGGGGACTGTCGTCTGTCTTTTAAAAAAAGTTCACGAAAAAAATTTGTTTACAAATTCACAACAAAAACATTTTTTTAAATTTTCCACCTTTTGAATGATAAAATAAATTATGAACGTTCGGGGGGGGGGGGGGGGGGGGGGTGAGTTGTAACATATTGTAACCAGGGGGGAGGGGGTTGAAAAAAGTCGTTTTTTGCGTAACGTAATAAGTGAACGGTCCCCAATATGGTTTAAAAATGCTCCTTCTCATAGATCAATAAGTACAAACAGATCAAATTCAGATGATTCAGCATAAAAGCTAGCAAATAACCATCAACAATGTTAACTTAACTGTAATAACATGAGAAAAAACTTAATAATTCACAAAACTTCAATAAAAATTGGAATATTGAACGAAATTCAGACATCCTTAAGACAAACAAACTGAAACTGCCCCTACAAAAGCTCAGCATATAAATCTGCTAGTTACACAACTTTGTTATCTTCAAAAGCTCTTGACAGAAGGCAATTTTCCGAGATCACATCTATTTACATTTCTGATCTTGACCTTTACCAAATGCAAGCATAGCAAGGCCTTGAAATCATCTACATAAAACCTTTAAAATTAGAAGCTCTGTCTGCGTCTTTCATGTTTATTCTTATTTAAGGATAGCCATTTTAAAGCAGCACAGACTGAAATGAATCAATTTGTGAAATCATTAACCTTAATAAGCAGAGGTCGAAGCCGACATGAGTTCGCTCCGGTTCGCTAAAAAACCGATTCGATAACCGGTAAATTTGTATAAAATGTTGTACTTCACAAGTGGCAGCAGAAAAAAATCTATTCAAATTTGAATCGGTTTTTTAGCGAACCGGAGCGAACTCATGTCAGCTTCGACCTCTGTTAATAAGTTTTTAATTAATAGCTATTAAATCTCTTTTTGAATAAATTCTGTAGCTACAAAAACAATAATGTCATAGTCATTACCTGTGGCTAAATTATACAGAAATTCAATTAAAATTCATAAGAAATCTTACACCTAAACACTTCACTTTGAGCATCAATCTATTGCTATGGTGTTTAAAGTTTTGGAGAAAAATGTCATTAAACTTCTTCATTTTTAAAGTTATTTTATATTAGTAAAGAAATTTCAATAAGCAGGTATAAGGTTTGGGATCGTTCACTTATGACGTCCAGGGGGGGGGGGTCAGCAAGAAATTCCTGGAAATTCCTGGAAATTCATTGTTTTTTTTTTTGGAAAAATTATAGTTATTTTCGGACGTCATAAGTGAAGGACCCCTTTGAGGAACCGGGAATGAAGTTTTAAAAATTAAAAACCTTATAAAATTTTAGAAATTAGTTTTTAAAATGAACAACTTACTTTATCATCCCAGAATTTTATCTTGACATAATTAATGATTATAATACTAGACAATCTGAGAACATATGAGCCCTCTCACTTCCCATAGCATTTAACTATCGCGCCAAGAAAGTGAAGACAAAAAAAAAGCAATTTTGTGTAGGCGAAGTTCATATAAATTGAACTTATTTCGCAAAAATAATTGACACTTACTTGATGATGGCACTTTGAATGATTCAACTATGCGAACGAATATTTTTTCATTTATCAGTTATGAGAGCAAGCAAGCAAGTCAGCATCAATGTGATTCAGAGAATTTATTTTAGATTTTTTATGATCAGTCATAATAAAAAAGTCGTCTAGTTGAGATCAAAAAAAGAAAGAAAGGAAAAAGTTAATAGAAATCACGATGGGAAGTAAATGTAAAATTGCGACCGTCATAATCGCTTGGTTCGTAGAAAGAAAGGAAAGCATGAATTTTCCAATTCTATTTTTAAATGTTTGTTGCATCTTTTCTTCTCGCTATTTAGCTTTCTCATAATCTTGGCTATTTCGGCGGTTCTTATATATTTTATAATGAGCAATTCCTTGAATCGTCACGCTGAGAGATGCGTCATTAGGTGAGTAAAATGTGAAAATTGCTTCAGTGAGATTCTTTCTTTTTTTGTTGTTGCTGCATTTTTGCTTTGAAAAATTACTTTCTGTTCTGACAAATTGATTTGATGTAGCCATGGCATTTTGTGTAGTAATTTTTCATTGAAATTTTTGTCTACAATTTTTTTGATGAAATTTGCTTTTTGGTACCTTTTGCATTTAGAAAAGTTCTAGGAAAAGCCAATAGCTTTGATGACTAATTTTGATCGGGTAGCATAATATTTAGTGACGCCTTCATAAATTTTATTAATTATTCCAATGAATTCTACAGATCTAAAGTTACAGTCAGATTTGGAATGCTACCTGAATTGCAAGGGGGAAACAACATGATGAGTTATTATTTTGACGAGAAATTCAATCAATTTTTTGTTTAATTGAATTTTCGTCGATCTCGTTTAAACATGTTCCCATGATGCTATTTTCCCCTTGCTATAAAATTACCCTGGATTTATCAGAGGTCGAAGCCGACATGAATTCGCTCCGGTTCGCTAAAAAACCGATTCAAATTTGAATAGATTTTTTTCTGCTGCCACTTGTGAAGTACAACATTTTATACAAATTTACCGGTTATCGAATTGGTTTTTTAGCGAACCGTAGCGAACTCATGACGGCTTCGACCTCTGGTATTTATATACTGAGAAATCAACTCTAAGGAGGTTCTCATTAATAAGCAGAAGTGTCAAAAAGTAGGCAAAGGAATGCAAATGAAATCAAAGATTGTAGTTTCACACCCTTTGATTCTGATCAAACTAATCAAAAGTCAGTTGAATGAGTGTGAACCTCTCTATGGAAATTAATATGAGCTCAATGTTTCAAATGACTTCCAAGTTGAGTTTGGGAGGAAGATCTGTGAATTCTAGTTAATACAGACTTAGTCAATGCTGAATCTTGTAATTTGAAATATTTTATTATTTATTATTTCTTTTCTCATAAAGTTGTTTCCCCCTTGATTAAGGGCAATTCTTTGGATGACTTTTGGAAAATTTTAAGCAAAAAATCGAAATTTTATTGATTTTTCCCATCAGAGACACTGATTTAATGATTCTTATCGATGTAAAAATCTAAAATGTACACTACTTTTGATATCATATACTTCTAATCGCTGTAATAATTAAGTTATTTGGATTCTTTAGTCAATAACTCGATGACAGAAATCGGAATTTTCAATTTTCATTATCCGAGGAATCGAAAATTAGAGAAAACTATTGATATACACATTGAATAACTTTTACTGAGTTATAGAACAGACAAAAATCTTTAATTAGGTTGCTTTTCTGTGTGCTTTAAGTTACTAATTAATGTAATATTTCGATTCTTTGAAAAATTTCCTTGTGTCATCGAGTTATAAAAAAGCTTTTTTTTTGTCTTAATCCGTGAAAAAATACAAAATTTTCAAACATATTTTTTCATTTTTCAATTAATTTGGGTGAGTTGTAACATATTAATAGATCATTTATAAAGAATTAATTATGTTTTATGATCTACGAAAGTTCTAGCTTATTAATCTTTCTTAGTAATATGAAATTAACGAAAACATTTTTTCGAACCAAAACTCATTGACATTGGATTATGAAAGCTCATTTTTTTCAAATTCCACTCATCCAAAGAATTGCCCTTAAGATCCCCTATGCCTCAAAGTATATTTCATTTCAAAACATGACCTTTAAAATGACCCCTTATGATTGCTATACGCATACCATACAGCATTACAGTAGAAGATTTTAATTGAAAATCAAAATCATACGATAAAATCTAGCAATCTCAAATTCACATCTCGATACAATTCTAAGCTGCATAGTGGCTATGACATTTTCAACTTCAAATCCGCTTAAAATTTAATTACTGACAATGTATATGCTGCATTTTACAATGAAATCACGTTAATGCCTTTAGGAAAACTTACAATTCTGTAAAATTTGCGTCATTGATGCTTTTAAAAAGGCTTCCAAAAGTGATGAGATATTTATTGTATGGAATTGATATAAAAGACTGAATTACTAAGTTTTTACGGGTCTTAAACTATGGATCACAATCTAAATACGCAGCATGACATTCAAAAATACTGAAAATCACAAATGCGTCTTAATCCCATCACAATAGCATCCAAACTTACGTCCATTTCATCATATGTGTAGCATCACTCATCAGAAATGTTAAATCTCGGTCATTATTTAATTTTCATGTCATCATAGGCACCTCTACGATAAAGGCGAACTGAGAGATGTGCGGTTCGAAGAAAGTCCATTATCCATTCCATTTGAAGGCTGTGACGATGCCATCAACAATGCTCGTCAACGTGTTAGAGACGAAATAAAAATTCCATGTGATTTACACGACAATAAAGAATTTATTCGAGAATTAGAAGATTCGGGTATGCTTAGTGGAATTTATGAAAGAATTCATCACGTCGAGATGGCTAATGACATAAAGCGAAATATTGGAATTAAAATTAAAAATAAGTGTGAAGGCATGCGAGATCCGAATGTGCAAAAGTAAAATGATGTTTATTGAAATAAAAGTTTTGTTGATATTTTTATGAACTTTTTGTCAAAATAAACTTTAATGCTTCTAAAATACATTTGATGAGTTCTTTTAAGTGTTAATTTTCGGAATGTTTTGACGTCACTATAAAGTGTGAGTGAGGCACGTGGTGAATAACCTATATTTGCTTTATAAAGTTAAGTTTATTGTTACAGGCTGAAATAAAAACGTTTAAAGATAATTGGGAGAAAATGGAGTTGTGGGTTGCATCTAGAAACTTTTCAAATATTTGCTTAAAACTAGGGGGGAAACAACATGATGGGACTGTTTTATAATCAGATTTTTTGATAGAAAATTATTAAAAACTTATAGAAAATTCGAAATTTCTCATTAAATTAGTAAATTTTTATGAATATTCAATTTAAACTTTTTCTCATCATGTTGTTGTCCCCTTTGCTTAAACCAAACTTAAATAAGATCATATTTTTGAAGGATTATTCAGCTTTTGACTTTCAAATATTGATCACTAATGCCCCCCTTCCCTCCTTCCCCCCTTCAATCCCAAAAACACGATACATCACAAATGAATAAGTCCACACAAAAATAATGAAATGACATTCAATCCTTAAGATAATCCAAAGACAACATTTATTCACAAGACGAGTAATTACAAGCCTTAACAAAATAAACCCTTAAGATTTAACCAAATTTTAAGTTTCAAGCACTAGAGATGATTCATTTATGTACAAAATATTTAATTTCCTTTATGGCATACATTTTTGGTAAACTTAGATCTTGATAAATGCCAAAAGGTTACAACAACCCTTTCTCATTTACTGAAAAATCCAAAAAACAAAAATAATTTTCATCTTGGTGTGCTGAAATCATCTATTATCATATGACTTTGTATCCTCAAAAGAAAATGCTGATGACAATGAATGTGAAAGATATTTTTTCGACATTTCATACAGAGTGACGTAATTGAGCTTGACTTTCAATCCTCTTTTGAACTTTAAAGGTAGAAATTTCCTATAGGTATAGGGTCGTCCATAAATAATGTCAGATTTTATATGGAATAAAAAATTGGGTCTGGGGATGAATGACATTACAAAAAATATAAGTTTGATGGATGAAACTCAATTTTTTGATGTGACGTCACTTACAAACAATCCCCATATACTGAAATTCTATAGTTTATGACTCGATTTTATTACCTGCCATGTTAAGAATCATAAACATAGAAACACTTTCGTGACATCTTTTAAATGAGTAATGAGACACCATTAGAACTACATTTACTCCATTTAATCACAATAAATATCTTCTATCTGACTAGAATTGACGACGAAAGGTCGCAACAGCTTCCAAGATTAAAACGATTGTACTACATCGATCATCCTCGAGCTGTGACTGCATGTGTTGAAATTCTACACAATTCGCAACTCGATCACGAATCAACTTTAAGCTAAATTAAGTAAAGTTTTCTGCTTCATGACATGTTGAATGTGATAAGCTCTCAATAGAAATTTTTCCACGTGTTTTATTTGCAGCATCTGTGTGTTGGATGTATTATTTGCAGCAGGGGGTTGAGCAGCAAGAGATAAAAATGAATATAAAATGCAAAATTGCTCAAAAAGGTAAATTTATGAATAAAAGGTAGAAAAAATAATAAAACTGAATAGATTTAAAATAATCAAGGGGGGTCCATATGTAAAACATATTTAAAATATTAATATAAATGGGAGGGGGACACAGGTATCAGATTCATGTGACGCTCAATATACAAAGAAATGGGGAACCTCAATCAGTTCCTTCTGTAAGAAAAAATTTCAAATATTCTGTAACCAAAAAAATTTGCACCCAAGTTGTTATCCCCCTGGTCAAATTATTATATTGCACGAAAATACCTGATACCTGCTTATACCACCAACTTAAAAAATGCACACAAGCGAATAAAATTTCATATTCCACAAAAGCTTCCATCACAGGACAGATGATGAAAATTAAGGTACACAAAAGAAATCTAAAATTACCACTAAAAGCACATCCAAAAATGCGTAACATCACGTTCCATCTTTTTTATCATGTTTATTCTCTCTCTCAACAAATAATAGTATAAGTAGAATGTTTTGTCACAAAATATATATAAAAATTTGTTTCGTCTGATTTTATAGTATTATGAATAAAAACAAGTTCATTTGACATTGATTTTTTTTTTTTGAGGAATATATAAATTGTATCTCATCTGCTTTTTTAAGTAATAATATCATCAATATTTTCATTCCTCGTTTTATTTTTCTCCTTGCTTTTACACAAAAATAATGAGATTTTCTTGAGCTTAAAAACTTTTTTTTGCGGGTTCGTCCGTAAATGATGTTTTTTTAAATATGATGGGTTTGGGGAGTTTGAAGAGTTAAAAGGCTGTGTTGTGCTTGGAAGGAAAGTCTGATGGACTCAGAATATAAAGAACAAAAAAAATGCGATGAAAATTAAAATATTTTCATCCTTGTTCTAGAAATGCCAATTACTGAACTTATGTGACTTTATTTCTATCTTCATCTGAACATTTAATGGGTCGTTCATTTATGACGTCCGAGTTTGAGGGGGAGGGTAGGCTAGGATTTTATTACAGCTGAAAAAAGGAATTTTTTCCATTTAAATTTTATGATACGGGGGGAGTTCATCATTTTTTTGACGGACGTCATAAGTCAATGGCCCCATAAAAAGATTTAGACATCAATAACAGGAGTACGTTGTGCTCTACAGTCCACGCATTGCAACAGTAGTGTTCTGTTGGGCTGAGACATACCTATAAGAATGCTTGTCTCTCAAAATTTACTAAGCGATAGCTATAGGTTCTGAGAATCTAAGGTCGGTTTCCAGGACTGCCTAGTTTCCCCTCACATTTTAACATATCTCAAAAAAAAAATAAAATCCAGGAAATATCTCCAAAAGTTGCCTTAGAAGCGTATAGCCTACAATTAAACCAATAGTCTGGTCCATATAAGTTTGAAGACATCATTTACAAACGAACCCCTTTCAGATTAAAAACTATTCTTCTTGATTTTTAAGTAAATACATTTTTCATTTTTATTATACACAAAGAGCGTTAAGTATCTATCTAGTACTACTTAATCATTAATTTATTTTTAATTTTAAAAATAAGCATTTATGATATTACTTAACAAGACGCAATAACCAGAAGCATTATCAGTGACTGCTCCCACATATGTTGAGTAATGTTTTATTTTTTTTTTATTTTCATAAAAAGCATTTTTATTCTTATCGATAATCTTTTGACTCTTAGCATATAAAAAAACCACTCACACTCTCTCTTTTTCCATTCTGTGCCGCACACAATTTTGGCATATTTTTAATTTCATTTTTCCTTAATTCACACGATCTTCGGCTACCAATTCTCTACTTGATACGTGAGAAAATCTTTTACTTTTGCACATCTTTGCAGGAACTAATGCGATTTATCACTCACTTTGCTCAGCTGGTCAGTTAAGGCTTTGGTAATTTTTGCTTGCTGAAGTTCAGCATAGAAGTCAACGAGATAAGATTGAAATTAATTGCATTTAAAATTTCCCAATTAAGGAATTTTAGGCAATGACTTTCAAAAAATAATTTTAATTTAATTTGTACTCTTTTTGGTTATGTAAAGCAGTGCTGTTGTATAGATGCTTGCTGCGTTCAGACAAAATTTGAGCCAAAACTGTCTAAGGACAGTGAAATATTGTCTGGACGAGTGTTAAGCATCTAAAGAGGGTTGTCTAGAGCTAAAGGTTAAATTTCACAACATAGTGACAGTCTTTAAAGCTAGTGGGATGCTACGGTGATGTGGCTGTGATTTTAAGCTTAGCAGCTGATCTAGAGCAACTGAGAAAAAAGCCTTTAAACCCTGAAGATTAAGGTATTTGATGTTTTTATAGCAAGATCTCTCTGAGGTGAGCCTTCCTGCTTCAATTTGCTATAGGTTTTTGAGAAAAATCTCAAAACCTTCTTAATTTCTTCGGTCCGAACTCAAAAAATGCATGAAAAACCTCCCCTCAACATCAAAAATCTATCTACACCCCTGGAAATCATCCTTTGTGGTCAGCATGCATTTTGTGGCTATCATGCCACTTTACTGAATGCAGACCAACCTTTTATCTATTTGTTAATCTCCTGGCTGTAAAATAACTCAGTGAATTAGTCTAACATCTCCAGTAAGTTAAGAACAATTCACTCAACAACACTGATCTATAGTCACATGATTCAGATTAGTTTACTGATTGTCCGAATGCAAAAATGCGCAAAAAGTCAATTATTTAAGTTGAGATGACTCGATCTCATTTGTCTTTTAGTCCTGAGATATTTACAATTAATTTTTACATTCTATCCATCCATACATACACATTCATAATTAATTGTAACCAATATCATCGTAGTATCATCATCTTAATCGTCATTGTCGTCATAACATTTGATTCTTATTATTATTATTGATATTCCTATTTTTGTGTTTCTTCTTAACCGACTTTAATCAACATAAACTTGTCGTCAGTGTATCTGTTGTAGTATGACTAACACTATATCTTTCAGAATCCAATCGTGAGATTCGTCGATTAAATGGCATTTGCTTTTGTGGCGCGACACTGCACAGTAGAATTGATTTCATTTGATCAACAAACACTAATCGGAACTTTTTCACTAGCACAACATAAATGATGAAGTTAACACTTGATGAAAGGGCAATCATGAAATTTGATATTTTAACAAGTCGATCATCGATCATGATATTTGTAAGGAAAGATTCGTAAATGTTACTAAGTACAGCAGGTGAATTGCATATGAGAAATACAGCGACAACTGCAAAAAGCATTGACGTCAGCTTAATGTCTTGCATTTCTCTCTGTGTCAGCTGATATCTCATTTTGTTTACTGTTTTGACTCTCATGAAAATTTGTAGATTAAAGAATGTAATTGCCGACAGTGGAATTACATTTATGACGATTAAGTACATCCAATGTATGTAATATTTTATATAATAAGGATCACGTCTCAATGGACTGGCTCGTGGGCAGTAAAATGTTCCATAATCAGGATCTATACCTTCCACTAATTGAAGTTCAAAGAACTTGACTCCATTGTATAGAATTGAGAATGCGGCGACTATCATCATGCAGAACTTTGCATGTTTCTTTGTACAAAGTGATCTCGCCTTTAATGGATAACACACAGCAATGTAACGTTCTAGTGATACTAATAATGTCATGTAGGTACTGGCAGTTTGTGCAATATTTGCAAAAGGTAAAACCACAATAAGCAGGAATGGATGTATATTATAATTGTAAAGTTTTATCCGTCCTGTATATGGATATATTGCAGCTAGTCCAACCATTAATATTGCGGTTATTAACACAAGCAGGTCCGAAATGGCTAATCCTATGAGTAAATGATTAATGCTGTTCCTCATGCGTGGTCTTGACAGGACAAGTATTGTTATGATGTTACCAAAGATACCGATGACTAATTTAGATCATATTATAGAGAACAAAGAAGGAAAAAAGTAAATTAGTAATAATGTTTAATAGTTGATGAAAGTTTTTGATATTAAATTGACATTCAGCAACAATAAGGTTCGTGAATTATTGCTTTTTGGATGGTTGATAACTTGAGACTTAAGTCTAACTATAGCTAAGCTCTTTACAACTACTGTCTTGATTTAATTCCATTCGATCTATATCGGTGTCGTGGCAACTAAGCTATGCTACTCGGGTTTATTTGAATATTCCATAGAAATTCTTGTAGAATATTTATTTTGACGCTATAGAATTTTCAAATGATTCCAAAAAAAAAGTGAAATTTTAATTGGAATTCTTCACAATGAATTTAAATACGTAGGTCGTTCAAAATGATTCAATGATTGTTTAATGTATTTTTAATTCGAAAGGAAGTCTGTTGGTGTAATTCATGACATTTAAAGCAATTCTTGGGAGCTAGTTTGATTCTTTTTGGAAATTATTAGCAAGATGAAGTATTATCAGTTTGAACAGAATTGAATTCTCATGATGATTTGGGATTTTCAGATTGATTAAGTTATTGTTAAGTCGGAAAATCCAATTGTTCAGTCAAAAAAATAGAAATTGCCCGAGCTTGAATCGAAACAATCAGAAAGAACATCAAAGTGCTTTTTTCAGTGAAATGAATTTGAGCAATTAAGCATTCCAAAAAGCCGATTCAACACAAAACAAGTTGAAAACATTGCTTACTGACTCATACGAGTCCAATAACATTTATTTGTTGTGAATGTCAATTTTCATTAATTTTGAACTTCAAAAAAAAGAGTTCAAATGAATTAAATTAAAAATTATAATTTTAATTTACCTCCAATTATATTCATTCCGATTCCATTAAGCCAAAATCCAAACATTTTATGATCAAATGGATCATCGCAATGCTTCATTGAGAGATTCCCATTCACTACAATCAATGGATCCATATTTATGTCATATATTCAGCACTGTATGTATTTGTCACACTCTCTCTCTATCAAAAATAGTTTTTATTTTCTTGTTTTACTTTATATCTGTGAAATGAAATGAACAAGAGTTGTGTGTAAGGCAAGAGAATTATAATTATTAAGTTCGAAAAGGCGAGAAACAGATGAGAAGATGAAATGGAACATAAATAAATTATACAGCACAAAAACATATTTCCTTATCATTTGTCAAAAGAAAAATATTTATTTTTTTGGCCCATGACTAATAAGAAGCCTGCCGTAAAAGCTTCTAAAAATATAGTAAATTAAATAAACGAGCCCATGGATTAACGTTTGTATATGAAAACAAGCGGATAATAAGTTGATGTCGAGGTATTCGGAGGTGAGGGATAGACACTTATTACACAATTAAATTCCTTATCCACTTCTTCTTGTTGTTGTTTATGTCGAGTATATCTTTTGTGCCTTCTTGTTTACTAGTCAAAACGAAAAGTTGTGTGTCTGGTGGAACAAGATACGTTTAAAATATTCATAAAATGTTATTTCAGGAACTGGTAAGGATCTTCCACAAAACCGGTCTAATTTGTATTCCGATTTAGTTTACAAAAGTTTCATATTAAATATTTTTTGGGTCAAAACTTTCGGAATTTATGCATTCTCAAAATTCTAAGTTTCCGCACAATTTGCTTAATTTGACTCTTACATTTTTATTCCAAGATATATCTTGTTTCTTGTGGTTCTAAATACATTAATTCGGAATATTAATGTCGACTTTAATGCGAATTTTTTTATTGCTTTTCTTTCTTGAACTTGATTTTAATATTTAATACTTCTGCATTTGATAATCAGCACGTAATTTGCTCATTATCACTGAAAAAAAAAAACCGGCTTGTTTGTTCAGATTGATCTTGATACAAACTTCTTTTTAACTTTCAATCCAGTAGTGTCGTTAAAAAGTTGTTTTTAATTCGTCTGTAGGGAGCAATCACAGTGGTTTGAGACAATTTTGATAGTAAAATATCAACTAAAGTGACAACTTTTTTAAGAACAAAGTTTAGTTGAAATTTGTTTAGTTCCTTAAGGATAAGAAGGAGTTTCTGATAAGCAATTAAGTTCGTAGCTGTTTCTTATGATGCCGGCTCAATGATAACGAGGATGAATTTCAATATTACATAACACTTTTAAATTCCATCATTTAAATAATTATCAAAAATTAAATCCACAAGTCAGTCCACTTTTACTCAAAACAACACCAATCCTCAAATATGAAAACCGGAGTAACACGAATCCGAAAATGTAAAAATTATTCAACACTCATTTCATCGAAGCTATATCATTTTCACTAAGTCGTCAAGTTTCCATTTGAAAGATTTTAATATAAATTCTTTTTCCGATAAAAGCAGCACTTTATCTTCATTTGTGTCTAGATTATAAATATGTTTGTTGCTTATCACTTGATGTTTCCACTACCACTATGTGCAAAATTAGCGTCTCTTAATATATTTTAGCAATCAAAAATAATCTTGAAATAGAGTCAAAAAGTTTTAATTATATTATCTGTATCTGGATTTAAGCACTTTATAGACGTGATTTTTGTGGAAATTTTCCATCCAACACTAATTGATATTCGTGTAATGCAGCAGCAGCAGGAATATTTCTGTTAGATAATTTAAAGTTATGCGGTAAAAACTTCATCACTTGTATAATCAGCTTTACTACTTCCAAATTTAGATCTACATCTTCTTCGCATGCTGTTAATGACAATTTAAATTCACTTGCGAAAACACGAGACACTTGTTCGATTCATTTTGATAATCATTAGAATTCTCCACAAAATACAGGCACTAGCTTTATCCTCTCTTAATAGTTCTTTTCACACTTTTAATTAGTTTATAACTTCTAATTGTGTAATTATATGTATATCCACTTTTTTTGGCTTTGCTTAATGATCTGGTGAGTTTCTTATTAGATTATTTAAATTCCACTGACATCCGAGATTTAGAGCTGTACCCAACAATATCCCGAATACCTCTCACTACGCCACTGTCTTTTTATATTCTCACACAGTTTCTATCCCTGACTTCGTGGAAGAAGTAACCCACAGCTGATTCTGATAACCCGAAAAAGACATTTTGGTACACACATATGTATAAACAGCGAGTTTATTTGGAAGTTTTAAAATAATATTAAAAAAGAATTTGTTTCTTCAAGGTTGAATTTGTGGCTGCGACAGTAAATAGATTTTTTTTTTAAAAAAATTTTTTATTAAGCCGCTGCTGTTTAGAATGGAGGAATTAAAAGAAAAACAACAATAAAGCGTAATATTACGGCATATCACATAATATGTATTTGTATTTGCCTCTATGCATTCGTAATGATTTTAGCAATTTTATTTTGATTAATTCGTTGACTCAAAATGCTCATGCTATTCACAGTTTGGGTGTGTGACTTTCTGTGTTGGAGGATTAAATGCCGGAAAAAGGTTCTTTATCTCAATTTTTAGAAAATTCATTTTCATTGGGAAAAGGAAGGAGATTTTAGCTGATGGCAATTTATTGTAAGGATTTATTGCTGCAAATTACAATTTTTTGGGGCATGTTTGATGCTGTGAATTATTAAGAGCAGCAGTAGTATTCAAATGTACTTAGGAATGAAGAATTCAAGTTCTAAATTGACCATTTATTGCTCCTTAGTATTCAAATGACCCCGACAACCTGTGCTACCCACAAAAAAAAATCAAAAGATTTTTTTAGATTAAATGTTTACTTTTTACCGGATAGTATGACATTTAATCGAAATTGAAAAATCCTTGCGGTTTAAGAACTTTTCCTTTTATCGTAGGCAGAAGGTTGAAAGGAAAACTGCATGGGGTAAAATGGAAATTAACTAGAAATATTTTCTACAAAAAAAACTTTTTTTTTATTAAAATTCTTTAAAGTCTGTTGCAGATTTTTTTTTGTTCTTATCTCAGACAAAATTTCAAGTCCAGTGGAAACGATAATCTTTTAATATTTAAATATTTTTTTTTGTTTTCAACATTTTAATTCGACTTGAACTTGTTCGAGTACGGATGGTTCTCTTTTGTTTGAGAATCAGATTGTTTGGTCTAGGATGTGACACATTTTTGGATTATCTTGGAAATTTTTGATGATTTTCTTTTGAAAATCTAAATTTGAACCTTACTGATATTTTTCTATAAATTTTAAGAACAGTAATGAACATAAAAAGCTGATTTCTAGGGATGCCCGGGGTAAGCTAGGGGAAAAATTATATTTGATGTATACTGTGGGATATAATATCAAAATCATTTGAGATTAAGGTTTGATGCCCATAGAAGCTCTAAAATCCGGCTCCAGCAATATGAGGGATTGGGGGTCCAGCACTTCGATGAAGTCAATTAGTAAGCCTCTTATTCATGCATGATAGCAAAAATTTAACTTCACTTAAAAACCTATGCTACACTCCTGTTAACCAATTCCTTTAATCCTTAATTTTCCAGTTATTGTATTTACGATGATTAAATTAAATTGAGCTTATGTTGTACGAAACTTTTAAAAAATCTAGTTGAAACTTTTTGCAATAAATGCAATTTCATATAAAATTTATTAAAATTGTTCAGTCCATTTGAAGATACAGACACTGCACGATGCTACACATTGTAAAATTTTTAATCTTTTTCAACATCAACTTTTTGAATTTTTCATTTCATTAAAAAGTATTTTGAATTTTTAAAAACAAATTGAATTTAATACAAATTGATTAGTTTTTACAGACACTAATTTTACTGCCGCTAGCTTGAAAACTTTACATTTGAATAATGCTTTTGTTGACAAAAAAAAAGACAGTAAGTACATTATTTATTAATATTCTATTTTAGACCATTGATTGCTCCACCTTTAATATTTTTTTTAAAGCTGATCTTCTCAAATACGACCATAATCCAGCATATTATAATGCGTCATGATTAACGACTTAGTGGTCACTTTGCACTTGTTTATTCTACACCTTTTTACATTGTTTAACTTCCTTCTATATTATTATTATTTTATTTCACTATTTACCAGTAGTAACAACAACAACAACCTTGATTCGAGCAACAAAAGAAATAAAAAAAAAACTTGTTTCCATAAAGTTTAAAAATATTTTTTTTTAAAAAAAAACTAAATTGAAGATGTAAAGCAGGCAGGCCAAAAAAATTAATGACACCATGTGTTCTCATTTGCATCACTAATCTACTCACGTTTTAAAAAAATATACACAAAAATCAAAATAATTATAAGTAAGGAAAAATCTCGCCAAAAATGATTTTCAGCACATCTACTCAGCTAAAAGACATTTTCTCAACTGTCTTACTGATATAAATTTTTTTTTACTTATTTTTTTTCTGTTCCGCTTTATTTTATTTTTTCTTCTTTCCTTTCCTCTGTTCTCACCAAAACTGTAAGCGAAAGAAAAAGACTCACTCACAATGTGTGTATTTTTTTGTTTTTTTTTTGGCAACACGATGCTTTTTATTCTTGCTTTAGATTCAAACGGAGAGACATCGCGAGTCTCTCTCCAGCTGAACACAAGTTTTTGGGGGATCTTGCTTCATCCACATCGACACACGTTTGAGTATTGAGATGAACGCAATATTTTATTTGGTTTTATGCTTACTAATACAACAAGCAAGGAAGCAGTACTGAAAAAGTCGCTCAACCACGCGCTTCTTTTGTTTCTCCGGCTTAACTCTATCGTTGAAAAGTATGGCATTTTGAAATAACGAGAGAGAGAGAAGTGGATGTTAGGCATCATTAAAGCTCCCACACAGAGAATTCTTTTATCACATAAAAATACAATAAAATTAATGTGCATGCAATTTGAAAAGGAGACTCGGAATGAATAAAATAAAAAATATTTCAGAGTGGCAAATGTCAATGTGGAAAGAATTAATTTCCATACTGTAAAGCGTTTAAGGCAGAAAAAGAAAACAACAGAAAATGAGAATTGAGAAATTTAAT